TTTTTATTTTAGGCCGTAGTTTCAGAAATAAAAAGAAGTCTCAGGTAGCTGATTTGGGGTGTCATGAAAGGCTACCAAGTTGTCAGTTTACTAACTGGGTTTCTGACCCCTCTCCTACATAGCTAAATATGCATAAAAGTTATGCAACATAGACCGTGACTGAGAATTCCAACAGATATTTTAATGGGATTAATTGTTTAATCCATTCTTTTTTGCACCTTAATACTGCTTTTGCTGTTTTCTTCTAATTTATAAGCTGCATTTTGGGAGAAAGACATGAAATAAATCAAATAAATAAGTAAATAAACTGCCAGGAAAGAGGAGAGGACTTGTGGAAGTCCCCTGTCCTTTATGTGTCGAAATAAATGGGATGGCTTGAGGTACCATGTGCCCTATGGCAGGCATATATGGCTGAGAATCAGACTTTTGCACCATTGTGCAACAGAGGGATTCATATTTTCTGGGAGAAAGGCGGCATATAAATTAAATAAATAATTAAATTCAATGCAAGAAGTGTTGCAGCTGCATATTGATGCAAAGCAATGTGCAAGCCACTTGTTTTGTTGTGCAATGTTGCAACTGACTAATGAGGCACCCTTGAATAAATCCATGGACATAAAGCTGCACTCTTTCTCTTCAGTTTAGGATCTTGGCTCCTGACTTGGGTGAGCAGAGATGCTGTGCCTCAGGCAGCAAAGTCTCTTGGGACAGCCCTGCCTGTTAACAACTGATGGAATCCGCTGTAGTGCCGGCCATGGAGATGGGTTTCAAAAGGGCTGGACACTTTCACAGAATAGGAAAGGCTAATGGATAGCTATTAGGCCTGGGAGTTAATGGCTCTCCCATGTTCAGGGGCAGTATATCTGTGAACACCAAATGATGGGTCAAATAAGAGGACAGAATGGTTGCCTTCCCATCCTCCTCCTTGGAAAAAGCCTGCTGGACTCTTAATATGACCCAAAAGACTCCTTTTGGCCCAAATCTTATTCTTAGTCCCCATTTGAATAAACCTATTGAATTAGTCGGATTTACCTGTGTTCTGGAGGGCCAGTGTTGTATAATAGTTTGAGCATTGGGCTAAGACACTGGGAGACTAGAATTCAAATCCTGGCTCGGTAATGCAAACCTATTGGGTGACTTTGAGCAAGTCACATTCTCTCAGCCTCAGGGGATGGTAAGAGCAAACCCTCTCTGAAGAAGCTTGCCAAGAAAACCCTATGATCAGTTCTCTGGTCTCCTAGAGTTCTAGTTCAACACTCCAACTATGCTGATTTTTGACATTCAGAGGAGGTTTTGCTATTGCCTTCCTCTGAGGCTGAGAGTGTGTGACTTGACCAAGGTCACTCAGTGGGTTTGGCATGTCCCAAATTTCTTTGTTGTTGGTCTGCTCCTTCAGGTTGATTCTGAGTCATGGTGACCTTCTGCTAGGGTTTCCTTGGCAAGGCTTATTCAGAGGCGTTCGCATTGCCTTCTTCTGAGAGTGTGTGACTGTCCCAAGGTCACCCAGTCATTTTCCACAGTTGAGCAGGGATTTGAACCCATGTCCCCCAGAGTCCTAGTCCAAAACCACCACACCACACTGGCTCACAAACTTCTTATTGCTAAGGAAATGCTATCTCTAACTTCTAAGATTATATTCATGCAAAAATGACCAGGAGGGGGGTGGGAAGGCATGTATTGCAAGGATGCAGAAGAAATATAGAAATGGAAGGAGAACTTTGCAATTGGCAGGTTGCAAAGGGCCTGAGAGAGGGGCAAGGAGCTGGGTGCGAGCTGCGCCAAGCAGGGCTGGCTCTCCATACCTGCCTGAGTCAGCAGTAATGAAGGCTGTAAAGAAGAGGGATGGGAGCCGTCATGGAGGAGATTGCCTCTCAAGTACAACATCCTGGCCTATTTCATCCGCACAACAACTCTCCATCCCTCCCTCCTGCCTCTCTCTGCAGAAAAGGGGAAGGAGGAAGAGGAAGAGGAGGAGGAGGAGGAGGCCAGGAATGTGCAGCCGAACAGGAAAGAGACATCTGCTTCCCTTTCTTCCCTTTCAGGGGACAGGAAAACACCAAAATGCAACAGCCTTTCTATTGCTTTTAATAAACCGAGACCAAGAAACTACATGGCAGAGACAGAAAGGAGCTGCTTTATGTGCACAAAGGGGCTGCGCAAAGCTGCCTCCCTTGTTGGTGTTCAAAGGTATACTGCCCCTGAACATGGAGGAGCCATTGGCTGTCATGGCGCATGGCAGAGCACATGAATTGTGGCATTATGCAACCAAATGCACATGTGTGGCCGTGCAAAGGTGCATCCGTGTGAGATGGTGCCGCATGCTCATCTCTGCTTCTGCAAACTTCCTCTGGGTATGGATATTCCGAATCAGACAAAAATGCCTGGTAGTCTTTACTATACCAAGGAACTTGCATATCTGTAAGCCACCAACAGGATTCGGGCCCAGATCTGTTTCTGTCAGCATGACAGAGTCCTTCATAAAGAAGGAGTGTTTTGTCTGATCTGCATGCTGGGTCTAGATATCCTAAAGGCACCAGTTCCTAGCCGATCTGGGGAGCTAAGCAGGTTCAGTCCTGGTTACAACTTTGATGAGAGACCACCAATGAAGATCAGGTGCTGTAGGCT